TGGCTATTTCAGAGGGCATGACGTCTCCTACTTACCATCTATAATACAGATGGTCTGTTTGTATTATATACTGTTTAACATATAAAATGTATTATATGGTTTTGTATCATATATTAGTATGTATTTAACATAGAGTTCCTATGTATTGTTATATTACTTATCTAACATATTTTATCATACATTGTATTATGCATGTTGTATACAATTCTGGATATATATGTGTGTGTGTGCGTAAATGTTTTTGGGAGAGTCTTTAATCTCCCTGCAAGTACGCATTTGATCATTTTAATGTAACTTTTATAAAGTCCTAATCGAAACCACTTTGAGACCAGCTATGTCTTTATAGCAATACCGCAAGGTCCACTGTTGGCTCCAAGAAAAGGTTGGGGAAAAGGTAGCTGCCGTGAGGGGCAGCAGGTCCCCACTAGAAAGTGGTTTTCCAAATGTCCACTCCCCGGGGACAGAGGAGACTCTGTGCTGGACTCGGCGGCCGTCTTCTCTCCTCGCTTGTGTTAAGGTGGTTGTTTTGGTTTTGAGAGAGGCCGTTTAGAGGCTCTAGTGATCCCTAAACTGATGTCATGAATTAAAAATGAATGTGAGGAGTGCAGCATATGCTCGGCTGAAGCATCTGAGAGCTCCGTGGAGGCCTTTCACCTCCGGTTCAGGGCTCCAGACGACAAACTGCGGGGCTTCAGCCGAGGTGCCCGACGCGGGCGGGCCTGGCAGAGGGGAGGCGCCGCGCGGGCTCCCGCAGGTCCCCTACTCCAGGTCGCAGCCGCCCGCCCCGACCCCGGACTAGAAAAAACTGCCCCGGGCTTGCATCGTTTACAGATCAGATGGTCCCAACTACAGTCTGCTTTCAATACCAGTTGAGAGCTAAAATAAGCAAGCAGTCGGGAGTTCCCCTTGGAGGGCAGGGACCAGGTGTGCTGGAGGAAAATAAAGTCGAAATTTCAGATGTCCTCACGTTATCGCTCCGTTAAAAGGCAAGAACCGGGCAACTGATTTAGTTTAGGGAGGGGAAAAAAGGGAGGGAAAAAAAAGACGAAGTCAGGTGTAGCCAACGAAAAGATCAAAAATGAGAAACGTCCTAAGTTTACAGCCTGATAAACAGGGGGCTGCTAATTCAGAGGCCAGGGAGTTGGGGAGAGAAATTGGGGTGGGAAGGTGGGGAGGTGGGGAGGTGGGGGAGTGGGGAGGTGGGGAAGGTAGGCTCCTCGAAAGAGCAGGAGGGAGAGGAGACTGTTAGGATGCTTGGCTGCTTATTTCCCAAAAGCAAAAACCCCCAAACAGTAACCTGTGAACATCTTGAAGAACAAAAGAAAGAAACTTGGCTAAAACCTGAACAAGCAGCTTAGACTCCCCATTTCTGGCAAAACTTGGGGTTCATTGAGGCCCAGAGCCCACTTGGGATCTGGTCCAGTTCCCAGCCTTGGGAAGGGTGGTTGTGGGTGTGGAGAAGTAGAGGCAATACTTCCCTGCTCTGTCCCTGATGGGGCTCCCAGGCACCGGCTGGAATAAGCTGGGAAGTGGGTAGAGGAGGCTGAGATCAGAGGAGGGAGGAGAATGTCTTCTTGTTGCTAAAAATGAAACAGCCCACTCCCCTTACCCCTGTGGCCGCAGTCTCTGTGCCTGGCCTCACTGGGAGGCATCTCAACACGTACAGAATGCCAGGCCTTCCAGATGAGGAGCGGATTGCAGTGCCAACCGTGTAGATGCTGGTCTTCCCAGATGGGCTTGGGCACATCTGGCTGGTCTGCAGCCTTTTCTGTATCCAGGTGATCCATCTCGTCCCTGCCCAGTGTGGTGGAAAACTTTTTCCCGTGTTAGCACCAGTGTTCCCTATTTTTTCCCTTTTCTCTGAGTCCCCATGATCCTGGTTCCAAGGGCAGCTGCTCTGGTGTGCTGAAAGCAAGATAGGCTATATTTCATTTATCATCTGCTGCCAGGGCATCTCTCACGAGAGATAATTCATTTGATCACTGATGGCAACTGTCCCGTGTACTGTACTGAGCTTCCATGACAAGAATTTACTTCATCCTGTCCTCCCAGAAATCCACTGAAGTCTATTCCAGTTTTCCATATGAGAAAACGGAGGCTCTAAGATGTTAAGAGGTTCATCCAAGGTCACATACACAGCTAGTAAATGAGGGAGTCTGGATTCCAATCCAGGTCTTTCTGACTCTAACAGTTTTTCTTTCTCCCCCCTTCCCTACCTCTGATTTTCTATCAAAGTGCCACCTTTCCCTAGAGGAAGCCACAGGGTGAGGAAAGAGACAATACTTTGCTCTTTAGTCCTCCAAAGAGTCAATGACAATACGATAAAGGGTCTGGATCCCACATCGCCTTCAGAGCACTTATTCCAGCTCTGGAAGAGACGATAGACTATTGGCACATGTATAGCCTGTATGGTTTACAGATAGCCTGACCACACTTCATTTCAGCCACCTCTCGCACCAGACCTGTGAGGTGGACACTGTCACTTTTGCCCCACTTAAAGAGGCAGGAGTGGACTCAATGAGGTTGCACAACTTGCTCGCTGCCATCCATTCTGCACAGAGCCCTGGCACCACCCAGGCTGTCCCATTCCAAGTCTCCCTACTTGTTAGATTACCACATATGGGACCATTTAACCAATGAAGTTAGACCTTGCATTCTGTTGTGAAATTGCTAAATTTTCTCTTTTTCGTGTTTTAAGTATTCCTGCAAGTATTATTGCAGGATCCAACTTTTCTCTGCATTTATGCCTCTCTTATACCTTTTCCATGTGTGCATCCATCTGTATTGCAATGCCATCAAGGAAATAGAACAAGGAGTAGCCCCTTATCTGGGGTCAGATGACAATCAGAGACCTATACTCATGGTGTATAGGTTTAATTGATAACTGTATATTTTGCTGTATTATCATTTGCCTTACTTGTGTCACTCAAATGTGTGATTGAGGGTTTTCAATCATATGTCTGTATGTGTGTGTTTCATGACTTTCAAAGTATAGTTAACTGTCGCTTTAGACAATGTTTTCTCTTTGCTAAGATCAAAGGGAAATAATTTGAGGTAGAAGGAATTATTTGGTCAAATGTTTCCATGCTCAAAGAGAGAAACAAGAAAGCAGACAGGAAGTGATTCAAGAGGTCTCTGACTTGAGGTACTGTAAAAAGTCCCCTGCCACCAGGAAAAGCCTTCCAGGGAAGGATGTTCTCAGACCTCACACAACCAGAGCTCCCTCACCAGGCTCATTCCGAATCTCACTTGTTTACTTCTCCACAAAAGCCATGCTCTCCTACCCCATGAAAAGCTTTTTTTCCTCATTATCATAAAATTATATATATATATATGTGTGTGTGTGTGTGTGTGTGTGTGTGTGTGTGTGTGTATTTTAACATTATGCCAGAATGTGTAAAGAAGTAAATAACAACCATGCAAATTACCCCTTGTTTACTTCTTCATAAAAGCCATGCTGTCCTACCTCATGAAGCTTTTTTCTCATTATTATAAAATTATATATATATACATATATAATATTTTTTACATTATACCAGAATGTGTAAAGACATCAATAACAGTCATGCAAATTACCCCTACCTGGGGATCACCACTGCCAAACATTTTGAGATGTTAACTGAAAAAAGAGAAGGAATTAGGGCTGGGTTTGGTGGCTCACACCTGTAATCCCAGCACATTAGGAGGCCAACATGGTGAAACCCCATTTCTAATAGAAATACAAAAAATTAGCTGGGTGTGGTGGCATATACCTGTAATCCCAGTTACTCGGGAGTCTGAGGCAGGAGAATAGCTTGAACCCAGGAGGTGGAGGTTGTAGTGAGCCAATATCATACCACTGCATTCCAGCCTGGGTGATAGAGTGAGACTCTATCTCAAAAAA